AATTGAAATATAAGTATACAGTGCTTTGTTTCCAATAAATCAAATTAATGCTATTTTAATGCTATTTTTTATTAAGCTAATTAAAAGACAAATTTCTTGACAAATTATTTTCCTGTTTTTCTTGTTTTGTTACATTCACTTCAATAAAACGTTTATTTGAGTTGAGAATAAATAAGCTAAGTCATTGGTTATTCTTTAAGTTACTAAGAGTTGTTATTATCTTTATTTTCAGTTTTCGCGAAAGTTAAAGCAAATTGTTTATAACAATCAATTATTACATCTAACTTCAAGTTAACGCTGAAGGATAACGATTAAATGAAGTTTATTTTAATAAAAATATTTCTTAAGAATACTTTTATGTTTGATTTTCATTATCTACTCTCCTTGCTTCTTTATTTTTAAGTGTATTTTACACTTTGAGAAAGTGATTTTATCCTGACCTTTGTACCTAATTTTGTACTGGGGATTTAAACATTTTTTGCTGTCATTTTTGAAATTAATATAATTCATTGCTTTTGCTCCATGCCAGCTAAGCTGTTGTAAATTGAATATATTCTTATTAGTACAACTTTAAATCCCCCCTCCCACCCCAAAAATTGTTTTCTGATTCAAAGAACGCATGTCAAATATATAAATGAAAGGGAAGAAACTACTTCCAACAGGATAAGAAAGTGCGTTTGGATTTACAAACTAAGATAGGTAATGTGATTATTTGTTTTGTTTTGAATATTAATTGGAGCATTCCAGGATCCTCCGGAGGTGAATTCTTCTGAGGAAAAACTCAATTTCTGTCTTCCACTGGATGACTTAACTACTGATATCGATCTTTCCTGTCAGAAATAGAGATCTTGGATACTCTACAGTGGATTCATGGCTTACAAAGCAATTGAATTCGTTGACTAATAATAGTTAAAAGCAAGGTAGCAAAGTGGGATTATCTCATCAAAAGCATTCAAGTTTATTTCATCGCTGGAAAAAACTCCTCCTCTAAGAGCCCGAAAGTCTTCTAGTAGGCCACTCCATGTACATGTAATTATCTCATTTGATATGCTAGCATAAATTATAAATAAATATTTTCACAGCTAGCCACTGCTTTGCCTTCTTAACGGGTCGGAAGAACATAATTTATTGAGTCACTAGGAGCGGTTTTTGCTGCGGTGTACCCACCACACACCCAGCAACAAGTGCGCATCACAATCTTTGTAACAAGGGGCTAAACCAAACCCAAACCAGAGCTAATTTTTTGTCTAAACTATTTTTCTCACGCAAAACGCGAGTTGAATTGTGTGTGAGCACGTATATGAGCTCACGCCTGCCCCCTCATAGTAACCTGTGCACGAGGAGAGTAACAAAATGGCATATAAATTTTGTTTGTATGAGCACAAGCATGAGAACTGTAGAGGTGGCAGCGGTGTTAGTAGTGGGAGAGGGCAAATCTCCAATGATGCGAAACCGAGATTATGTGCCCATTCCTCTCTCTCTCTCGCATAAATATAAGCCCACAGCAGCATTGCAATATACTCTGCAATGAAGTGAAATAGAAATGTTACAATATACCTCACACATAATCACACACCATTCTCTCATCTCTGCGTCCGTCCTTAACTCAGAGCACCACTTCTCACATCCTGAGAACTGGCTTTATCAACTCGCATTTGCGTGCTCCTGTCTATCAAGCATACAACTAGGTGCGTCAAGTACACGCACGCGGTGAGGTATATGCAGAGCATTGATTGGATAATCCGCTTTTGCCTTTGGTGACGGCCGTATGGCTAAGTGACTGAAAAGAGGGGAGGGGAGCGAAGTAGTGTACATAGAGTCATGTCTAGTTTTGTGACATCACCAACCAACTGTGACTAGCTGTTAGGGGAAGATGACGCCACTTGGCAACTAAGATTTGACTCTAGTGTGTATATTCAGAGGTATAAGCGATACTTCATTTGACAGGTGTAATGGTTTGTGCTGGGTTCGTTGTATCTCATATTACGCGTTTGGTTGATGGGGCGGGGTTGGTTGAAGGGGAAAATAAACAAACAAGAGTCTGGAGCTTGATTAGCTCATCTTACTGGGAGGAATTTATTGGAAGTATTAAAGAGGGGAAGAGATCTAAATTAGCCGATGCATAAAAATGAACGGCATTCTTTCCACCTTAAAATAATTGTTGTTGTCTCTTCATACGAACAGCAGAAATACTTAGATTCACACAAACGACTCACTTTTGGTCCAATTTCTACTATTACTATCACACAAGAAAAAAAATGAACATTTTTAGGCCGTGAGGACGAAGCCAAGTAAGACGAAAGACAAGAGGATGTGGAGGGGTAAAAATCAGTGAACAAAAAACCAAAGGTCTTGCTACTTTTGTGAATTCAAGATGCATTAGGCTGTGTGTCGTTTTTATTTAACATGGGCCGATTCAACACCACCTGAGAGATGGTTAATGTTTGGTACATCTATTTATTGAATTGAGGCACCGGTCATCAAATTTCGGTAGCCAACGCACCGCTACTGTAAAATAAGCAATGATATTTATCCATCACGAATAAAGTGCTACTAGTACTACTACGTAATTATATTTTATATCAATTGGCTGACTTTACGATATTTATCATTAACTCCTTAGTCTGACAAAGGCGAAGAGACTACAGAACTAAGTGAAACGTCTTTTTGGAGCATAATCTGGTCCTTTTCCAATGATAAAATTATTTCCCAAATAACAGCACAACATGGAGAAAAAGTAGACGGTTTGACTTGAATAGAGTACAAAGAACACTCCTCAAGTAATGCAGACTAATTTTTTCCCAAATTGCCATGGTTTTCGGATGTGTCCGCCTCTGAGGGTGATATGATGAGTCTTTCTCTAACTTCTATAAAGGCGAGTTTAGATTGAATTTAGATACCAAAGTTGGATACCTGAAAATGTGTAATTAACTCCTGGATAAGGAGAGTAGCCAATGAGGAAATTTGCTTCCCTCGGTAAAACTTAGGGAAAAGTGAAAATTGATTGATGGCCAATTACTGCAGTTGTAAAGTATGTTAGGCTTCCTAACCTCTCCTCAATCCTCCAGACTTTGAGCTGATGGACCAATATGCACTTTTCAGTTGGCGTAAGGGTATTTATTAAAATCTGAGTACTAATTAATGGAGAGAATTGAAGAAGTGTGAAATCAACTTGAACCAGGTTCTGGGGAGTGGATTGAAGCTACAATTGGCGCTAATGACTATTATTTTGATTAAGACTCCCTGCCAACAGTGAAATTTTCGTGTCTATTGAATTCCTTTTGAGTCAAACCAATTTCTTTGTATAAAGCCACTTTCCCTTGATTCCTAATGAGAATGTTTATTTATATCAAATGGCAGGCATTATGATAGTTATCATTAGCCCTTTAGTTGAATTCAGGCTTCACAGAGGAAGAGGAACATCAAATCGAAAAAAAGTCGATAGGGAGGAGGAACAGAAGAGTGTTTTAAAGATGTAAAAGAGACAGACACAAAGGTAGATGAAAGGTGAGGTGAGAACTGTGAAGTGGTCGAATATTACATATAGTGGGGTCATGGTAGTTTGAAGTCAGAAGTCAACTGCCGATTTATAGACTTTTTTGCTACATGAGTATACATTGCCCAGGGTGCGCCACGTGAAAGTAAGTCTATCACACACCCCTAATTAGAATGTTATACTTAGCCCGAACACTCCGTAATTCAATTTTACGCTTTTCAATAAATTAAATTATTTAATGCGTCGCGAACGATGGATGATGCTCAATGAAAATGATTATTCCACAAATGTGGTTCCTCCCCTTGTGAAAAAGCTCCTTAAATGATTGAAAAAATTGAAATTTCCAAGAAAAAAGCAAAGAAAATCCCTTTAACAAGGGCGGTCATAATGCATAAACTGTTTGACCAATAAAAAACATCGAGTCAAGATGGGAAATTTTGCAGCGGTCCTCCTTCTACCTTGGAAAAAGNGGGGGGGGGTTAAAAGCATTCAGAGAGGAACATCAAGGGATCAAAGCGTCTCACTTCATTGGATTCTTGGGCTTTCAAAATACCTGCGTATGGGGTGATTCGCGTTTTGCAAATCGTTCTTTGAAGCAAATTCTTAGGCACAATGTCTAATGCTTATTGGTGAGTTGATTAATTACGGTGATCCGTCCTGAAACTTCAATTCGTTCTGAGAATCCAAAATGACTTTACATGATATTATGCAGCGTACATGGTCTTAACATAGTAAATCCTCTGACACTGTGTACTATTACAGATTTACGATTGGTTAAACATGATGGGTATAAAATTTCAAGGTCACTGAGAATTTGACTTTACCGTTGCCTCATATGCTCATGGGAGCAATCTTTTTGCTTTGAGTACTGACTTGGAGCATTTAGCCATTTACCGCTATAATTTCATAATTCTCACACATAGTGGACTCTTGACTTTCTCTACTTGAGCTCATAAAACTCGCTTACTTTGACTATTAAAACGCCATTTATAAGCCTGAAAATGTCGCAAACTCTCTACCAGTATGTAATATTCCATATTGTCACTTTCAACTACCGTTAGGCACTACAAATTAACTCAAATTGAGTTAGTCATATGTTGTTTTTCTGAATTTACTTCAAATGCGTTTTATAAGATTCATTTTCGATACCAGGACCTAAACATTTTGGGAATAAAGTGCGCAGAATGGGGGTGGGGGTACTCCAGTCTTAAGATGGAGTCAGAGCATCAGAAGAACTCGGTTTAATTTCACTATTAGCATCTTTAGACGAATTTTTCCCACTTTGGGTTAGCATCCCCTTTTTTTCATCAAACCAGAAAATCGTTTGACCAATCGTTTTTAAGTTTGTGGCGATTGGTCCAACACTTTTTTCAGTCGTCGATATCGAAAGTCTCGTCCACACGTGCCTTCTCTTTTGCGCACATCTTTCATTTGTTGCTGATATGCAGCAATGTGGAGAATGGAATTCATTTTATGATTCATCATTCAAAGTTTATCTTCTTCAATGATTGATAATACCTGTTTTACTTTTGTCTTCTATTTCACTTACCACCTCAACGATGTGTTCTTTTTTCCCCAGGCTAAGAAGATAAAAGGTGACATGTGGGATATGTTCTTCGGTGGTCGTTACATCATTCTTCTAATGGGTCTCTTCTCAATCTATACCGGTTTCATTTACAATGATATTTTCTCAAAGGCCACCAATATATTTGGCTCCTCATGGTATCCACTGAATGATCCCACCGATGGGCTGCTTAACCCCATCTCTCATGCTCAAAACGTGACTGGCATGTTCGCAGGCTATCCCTATCCATTTGGCATTGATCCCGTTTGGCAGGTGTCACATAACTTAATTGTGTACACCAACTCCTTGAAGATGAAAATGTCTATCACTGTTGGTGTGATTCATATGCTCTTCGGTATTATACTCTCCGCCTTTAATTACAAGTGCGTTTGAAATATTCAAGCTACTTAAGATTGTTCAATAGAGTGGTTATTTATACTAAGTTTTTTGCATATTGCAGAATGTTTAAGGACCCTCTGTCGATATACTGCAGCCTTATTCCCGAGGTGATTTTCATGGTTTCAATCTTTGGTTACCTCGTATTTACCATTTTCTTCAAATGGATTGTTTTTGAAACCCCTGACGCTCCTACCGCTCCAAGTCTTCTCTCTAGTATGTCAACATTTTTGCTTGTTTGTTTACGTTGTTCAATAATGTTTTCAACTCTTCTTTACCTTTAGCTCTCATCACCATGATGAAGTTTGGCTATCAAGGTCAGAGTGAATCACAAATTCTATACACTGGTCAAGCCATAGTTCAGTCTATTTTGGTTGTCCTCGCTTTGATCAGTGTTCCATGGATGCTTCTTGCTAAGCCTATTATTCTCTACCGTCGTCATAAGGTCCAAAGTACTGTAAGTTTCAGTTTTCTCTGTTTTATCAATATTGAAATTACTGATTAAATGCCTGCTTCTTAAATAAACGGATTTGGGCTTTATTTTCTTGATGATTTTCGAAAACAGCTTACTTTCCAATGTGTTTCGGACGCATAGTTAAAAGGGCTGCATATTGCATTCCACGCGACTGTATCGTTGAAGTCAACCTATTGCTATTCGCAGCGTCCCTAATAAGAAGTTTTTAATCATAACGTTTGTGGTATTTTAATCCACATTCCTTGTAGCCAAAAAATTTGGTCTCCAATTTAGAAGGAGATTAGTTGACTACGTCTGTTGGTGGAATAACGAAATATGATGATGATGCAATAAAATGCCATACTTGTTTGTAGTTTAAATGAGATTGATTTCGTGATGAATAACTAAAAAACGATTTAGATAATGGACAAGAGTGATGCTCATACTCCATTTAGCCACCCTATCTCCCCTAATTTTAGGATCTGCGATTCCACTCCTCCAACAATTATTTATTTATATCAAATGGCAGGCGTTTTGATTGTTATCATTAGTTCTATAGTTGACTTCAGGCTTCACAAAGGGGAAGGAACATCAAAGCGAAAAATCGAGAGGAGGAGGGAACAAAAAAGGGTTTCAAAGATGTAAAAGAGACAGACACAAAGGTAGANAAGGTAGATGAAAGGTGAGGTGAGAACTGTGAAGTGGTCGAATATTACATATAGTGGGGTCATGGTAGTTTGAAGTCAGAAGTCAACTGCCGATTTATAGACTTTTTTGCTACATGAGTATACATTGCCCAGGGTGCGCCACGTGAAAGTAAGTCTATCACACACCCCTAATTAGAATGTTATACTTAGCCCGAACACTCCGTAATTCAATTTTACGCTTTTCAATAAATTAAATTATTTAATGCGTCGCGAACGATGGATGATGCTCAATGAAAATGATTATTCCACAAATGTGGTTCCTCCCCTTGTGAAAAAGCTCCTTAAATGATTGAAAAAATTGAAATTTCCAAGAAAAAAGCAAAGAAAATCCCTTTAACAAGGGCGGTCATAATGCATAAACTGTTTGACCAATAAAAAACATCGAGTCAAGATGGGAAATTTTGCAGCGGTCCTCCTTCTACCTTGGAAAAAGTCTTAAATGAAAACATTTAATTCGAATACAACAACGTTGCTTTAATTGATTAATTAAAAAAATAAAATTATAGGAGAACAATAATTTTGGTCTTTTAGAAAAGGTTAATTTTTAATGTCATGAAAGTAAAAGCCACATCCTCGTAGACTTGAAATTATTTCCCAAAAGGATATTTTCATTTGGAAAAAAACAAATAAATTTCTTGATTACTGGGATATTTCATATGGATTAGTCATCAAGAACTGATCACAAATGATCGGACATTGCAATGTTATCTACCCCAACCTGGGGAGGGGGGGGGGTACTTGAGAAAGCATTTCTGGAGTGACAAGACAACGAAATATCAAATTTATTGGACCGTTAAATACTGAGACAGAACAGTGAGTGGCTTATAGGACTTGTCAGTGAGAATTTACTGTGTTTAGTGAGTATGTGTGCACACATAAATGAGAGAACAATCACGGTAACCACGCGGTAGAGTAGAGGATGATTTGGGCAGGGGGTTGTGAGCATCGTATTTCACATGACACCGACCACGACTCGGAGAAACGCAACACCACCACCTCCACTCACCACCCACCCCTACAGACCGTCTCCTAAATACAGGTAACACTGCCGACAAGGCTTTGAATGGATCACTTTGACAAGTTGGAAATAAGGGGAAATGGGAAATGCTAGGGAGTTAGGAAATATGACATTAAATCTCACTTATACGAGATTTTGGACTCATGTGATATATTATAACGGAGGCCAAATTTGGAAGCAATAATGATCACCTTCTGTTTGCTTTAAACTAATATTTGGACACAAAGATGTAGCAATTTTAATATAATATTTACAAAGGGGNCCTATTGCTATTCGCAGCGTCCCTAATAAGAAGTTTTTAATCATAACGTTTGTGGTATTTTAATCCACATTCCTTGTAGCCAAAAAATTTGGTCTCCAATTTAGAAGGAGATTAGTTGACTACGTCTGTTGGTGGAATAACGAAATATGATGATGATGCAATAAAATGCCATACTTGTTTGTAGTTTAAATGAGATTGATTTCGTGATGAATAACTAAAAAACGATTTAGATAATGGACAAGAGTGATGCTCATACTCCATTTAGCCACCCTATCTCCCCTAATTTTAGGATCTGCGATTCCACTCCTCCAACAATTATTTATTTATATCAAATGGCAGGCGTTTTGATTGTTATCATTAGTTCTATAGTTGACTTCAGGCTTCACAAAGGGGAAGGAACATCAAAGCGAAAAATCGAGAGGAGGAGGGAACAAAAAAGGGTTTCAAAGATGTAAAAGAGACAGACACAAAGGTAGAAAAAAGGTGAGGTGAGTACTGTGGAAGTAGTCGATTATGACATACAATGGGATAGTGGTAGTTTGAAGTCAGAAGTCAACTGCCAAGTAATAGACATTTTTGCCGTATGAGTATACGTTGCCCTGGGTGCACCACGTGGAGGTAAGTCTATCACACACCCCCATCCAACAATTATAATATGTTTAAGAAATGTATAAATAAATTGTCAAAGGCGAGTTTCTTTGTCCATTAGATTAATGCCATCCGTGCTGGCTATGGGGAGACTGAAACAACTAACGACCCTGAGATAGGAAATGGGTCTGGAGACTACGTACCGTTTCGCAATGAGTCCTCACCTTCACTCGATAGATCGTCTGGGACTGGCAAATCTGCTCAAGGTAACAATAATGGTGGTAGTGGCCATGGGAGTGGTCATGGTGACTCTGAAGAGGTGACTTACCATGAAGCAATTGACGTGCTTACTCCTTTAACTAAATTAATTATATGAACTTGTTTCCTCCACTCTCCTCTTTTTAGTGGAACTTTAGCGATATCGTGGTGCATCAAGTTATCCATACTATTGAGTTCTGTCTCGGGTGTATTTCCAACACGGCTTCCTACCTCCGTCTCTGGGCTCTGAGTCTTGCCCATGCTCGTGAGTACTTTAAATAATGTTTGTTTTTTTTCAATCTTAATTTTTTAATGCTTAAAATGTCACCTTATTCCTGTATTAATATAGAACTTTCCGAGGTGCTTTGGAGTATGGTAATGTCTAAAGGCTTGCGTGTGGATGGACACCTTGGTGGTGTGATACTCGTCTTCGTTTTCGGCTTTTGGGCTTTCCTTACTATCGCTGTTTTGGTCATCATGGAAGGTCTCTCTGCTTTCCTTCATGCTTTGCGTCTTCACTGGGTTGAGTTCCAGAACAAGTTCTATGAGGGCTCGGGCTACCCCTTCGAACCCTTTACGTTTGCGAATATCGAGAAAGTCGGTACAGAACAGTAGGCTGTCTAATAACCCACCCATTCTCCCCCCCCCC